CGGCTCAGCAGCGCCACTGAGCGCCTAATAAACTACTCAATAATCTTTGCAGCGCCATGCCAGGGCATAGAGTCATAACACGGCACATTGGGAATGCTTTAATTGCACACATCCCTGCAGTCTAGCGCCAGCCGCATTCGCATACGTGTGGAATTTTATTGACTTTGCAGTTTGCCGCTTGTGCCACTGACGTGAGCTGTTACCTTAGCGGGCCCAGCCGTTGCATTCAATGTCGCTTTCGCGCTGAACCGCGTTTGGCGCGTCATGTGCTGRACACAATGAGCGCGATAGACTGCAGCAACACGACAGTGAACTGAAAATGGCGTTGTGAATCCCTCTACATGAACATTTGTAAGATGGGGGCAACATAACAATGGCCGGCACGTACACAAAACAACGCAGTTGTCCATTTTGCATGTACACATTTTCGTTGTGGCCATACCAATAACTTTTACTTCAATGAAATTTTAATATTTTTTTTTTTTTATAAAAAATTAAGAAAAATGTAGAAACTTTTGTTTCGYTGGTGTAACGCTTACACCTCAATTTTCATATTCCCGATTTASCAACCTTGGCAAAATATTTATTCGTGAACATTCAATGATTGTATGTCAGCTTTTTTACTCTTCCTGGTTAACCTCATCACACAAAMATGCATGGATTTGGAATACAAGAAAATCTACGCTTATTGGTTGCAAGCCCCAATTTTTGAGGCTGTCGTTGCAAGGATTTTCTCCGTCGCATTTTTCACGGATAATTTCTGTAATATCCTTTTCTACACAATCATCATAGCACAATGCAGAAAAACGGCCGAGTGTCTCATTCGAAGGCCCATGCCGCCACTAAAATCTCTTTTTTTATTTTTCTTAAAACAATAAATATATTAACTTAATTTTTAATATCATTTTGCTTTTCAAGGAAATATACTAATACTGTAATCTAAGATAATCGTATTAAATCGAATATATGAGACAATATAAGTAGGATGCAAGAATTTATGACATATCGCAATCGTGCGATATTTATGAGCGGCTACTTGAGTGCCACTTAACAGCTTTATGGTTCCCATAAGGTGGCTGCCGCCGATGGGGGTGATAGAGATATGTGAATTAACGGCAATCGCATAWTACTTTATAGTCTTGTTTGCGTCAATAAATTACACAAACTAATTGAGGGCTTTGGTGTACAAAACTGCTGATTAGAATCAGAACGATAATAATTTATGGCATATCAAATTGTTAAAAAATCTTTTGAAAACAAACTGAAGTGTGCTAAACTCGAACGCTGGATCTCAGCACAATCGACTCGTATGGCATAAGCGTAACGCTGCTGGTGGGAGTCTTATCGCTGTGAATATGCAAAACAAAAGGCAAACAATGAGCTCAAACAAATGTATTTATGAGTTGCTTAGACACTTCGYGGCTACTCACCCCTTTCGCTTGATGGAGCGATCGGTWATCAAGACGTATTCGAATTCCGCCGGCAGGTCAGCGAAGTGTTCGTGCAAGTTGAAATTCTCAATGTGATTAAAAATGTTGAGCAGCGTTATGTATGTRTAATTTTCGCGTAGTGAGCTATAATTGAGAAAGGTTAAGGAAAAATCTCGCATAGTTCACGCAAACTCACCGCTTGAYRGCTAAGACATAGTCATTCAACGCTTTAACCTCTGTCTCACCATYCTGTAAGGTTGCTGACTTTCTTAGCTTTTGTAKATTCTTGAAAATGTTCAAATGACTCAAAGCCACACTGCGYTGCCGTTTCACGTTCACGAGCTTATAGTCTTCTGCGATGGGTAGCCAAGTATTTCGACCCATGGTAAARCCAGCATTCGCAGTGTCGCTCCACTGGTAGGGTGTTCGTGCCGGATCGCGTGAACGCGACTCATAACCCTCTTGCTCATTGTTGCACGCCTGCGGATCGACGGTCTCGTCCCAGGAGATCCATACATCAGTCATGCCGATCTCCTCACCATTGTAGGTGATACTGCAGCCGGGCAGTGTGAGCAAGAGTATGTTGAAGAGGTCAATGCGTTCGGCACCAAAGCGCGTACCGACACGATTYTTGTCGTGATTACCGATCTGCAAARAAGAAGAAGCCATSTTACTAGACTGCTCCTATCAATTGAGTTGTATAGCGTTAGCGTACCACCCAGTTAGGTGTTCTACCAGTCGGAATGTATTGGAACCATCTGTTGATCATTTCAGCATAATGATGCGCATTGGAATCATAGCCCAAATTAGAAATAATTTGGAAGTTGAATGGTATTTGACCACCGTCTGCGGTCTCATTACCGTAGTAATGCATGACGATATCTATGGGTGACCAGGTCTCGACCATCAAAATACTGTTAGAATTAATGGAAAACAATTAATTTAGGTACGCATTGAAAATATTCACTCGACGCACCGCTCATCGCCGCCATGAATTGCTTCGTAATCCTTCAAGACCTGACGCCACTCATACACCAAATGCGGYGTCTCCCACTGATCAACCGTGTAAATGTGGCGAACATAACCGTAATCCTGTGGATCGTCACTCCAACCACTCACGGGCTCGTCTGCATAGTTACCATCTTCATCGGCCTCAATCTCGAAGGCGTGGTGAATGGCATCAATGCGAAAGCCATCGACACCCTTGTCCAACCAGAAACGCAAGACATTCTACAACACAACATTTAATAAAAAATTATACGCATTYACCCTTCATTGACTCACATTCATTGCTTCGCGCACTTYAGGATTGCGAAAATTAAAATCTGGCTGCTTTTTGTCGAACTGATGTAAGTAGTACTCTTGGCGACCTTCATGCCACTGCCATGCCGAACCGTAGAACACGCTGACCCAGTTGTTTGGCGGCTGACGTTTACCATCCACCAATTTACCTGGATGCCACATATAATAGTCTTTATATACGGGATCTCTGGCAGCCGATTTAATGAACCAATCACACTCATCACTTGAATGATTTGGTACAAAGTCCAAAATKATTTTTATATCCAACTCTTTGGCCTTGGTCACCATGCGCTCGAAGTCCTCCATAGTGCCGAATAGTGGA